ATCAAAGATTATTTCTTTATAATAGAAGGAATTAAATAGGATAAAGCTTTTGAACCAATCAAGCAATAGAAAATTTCCAAGGAAAATGGTATTTATTTCTCAGAATTCGTTCGCGGACATCGCCAGATTATTGAGCGATTTCTTCCGTGATCTTGACGTGGTCCCATCAGATGTGGTCGCCGGTTTGGTGTTATTGAGGAAGTTCCAGAAAATCGAGCGGGAGCTGATAGTGAAGCAACGGAAGAACGATACGTACGAGTTTCTATCCGGTGTGCCAGTTACTCCTCGCACTAAATTCTTGTCCTTGACCGAGGATGGTGATCTGGGCCACTTTCAGTTGGCCATTCATTACATGCACTTCGCCCTCGCTGCTTATGGCTGGCCCATGTTCCTCGTTAATCATTCCACCGGTCTTTGTCAGCTGTGCACAAGGTAATTCCACCGAGTTACAGCGACACGCACGTGCCGTGGCTCTGTAGGTGTGTTGGCATCGATTGATTTTCAACGATGTTTCGCGTGGTTGTACGACAAAATCCTTTAATCGATCGACGCTCGGTTTTTTAATTATATCTATTTCCTACGTGCTGATGTATTTTTTTTTTTTTTTTTTCATTCTTTCAGAAATACGTACACGTATTTAAAAGCGGTTCGTTAAATCGAAGAAATTTTTTACACCGAATTAATTAGACCGAAGTTCCTCGTCCGATCAATTAACGATGAAACATTTGAAGCAATTTGCATGCCTTAATTAACGCCCGCGGTGGTAAAAGCATCTTTGGAAAATAAGTTGGATGGAACTCTCTCTGTGACAGATTACGATGCGGCTGTTTCCCGTGCGGTGGCCACGAAGACGAGGCGACCGTTGTGGAAGACAATTGTTGCCAGTGCAATTACGTGGCGCTAAGAAAGATGGTCGACGTTGCCGAGGTGGAGGTCATTTATGCGACTTTTCACGTCGACGTCGGTGAGACGCCGTTCTTCGTCGCTCTCGATTACACGAAGAAAAAGGTTTCGCGCGTTTCCTCATTGATTCGCATGCATCGAACGTTTCGCGTTTTCCCAAGAAACGTCGAAAAGAAAAAAAAGACGATTAGATATAGAGCAGAGATTACATCGAAAGCTTCTTAACGATGCTCGCAGAAAAAGCTTCGTCACGATATATTCGCTGCGACGATTCGATTCGATGAAAATTGCAATCCTTTAAACGGAGTACGTTAAGGATCTCGAGAGGTTAAAGCAAACTGGAATTTTGTCCGTTTAATTGTAAAATAAATGAACTTCGTTTAGCGAGTTCATGAATTTTTCAACAGCTATTAAAGATCGTCGCAGCGAAATCTGTGAGATGCTATTACGTATAAATAAATATAAAGAATCGTACAAAGATCTTAATATAGATTTTATCTATAATGAATAAATTACATTTTGTTTAATTTTGTTAAACTCCTCTCGAGTTTAATGTGTACTTAAGTATCTTCGAATAATTCGGTGAATAATTTTTAATAATGATGATTTGAACAAAACGAATAATCCAATTTAATCTGATCTTATCTTATCTATTAAAAATATGAATATTAAATGTGTGAAAAGTGAACTCGAGGATTTTAGCATAATGAAGAAATGGATTGAAAATCAATAGTTTAATACTTATTAAAACTTCATAGAAGATTTTAATTTTCAAGATAAGATTTAAGAGCTGCTTTTTACCCACGAACTCGAGTGAACTTGAGAACGGTTAATCACCAATTTTCTGCTGCCTCTTTTCAAGGTTGTCGTTAGTATACGAGGTACCCTCAGCATGAAGGATGTATTAACGGACTTGAACGCGGAGGGTGAAGTGTTACCATTGTCACCACCGAGAGACGACTGGTTGGGTCACAAGGGTATGGTCCAAGCAGCCGAATACATTCGAAAAAAGTTACTAGATGAAGGAATTATAACTCGTGCACTCGCCAAGGTATTGTATATATTATCGTTAAATGCAAATACTTTTTTACTTACGTGTTATCGATGTATTAAATGGAATAATTACATATAATTACACATATTATCGTGCTCGTTACTATTTAGTATCACGAACAATGTTAAAGTAGAAAAAAAATAATAATAATACAGAAATTGTACGAAAAAAATAATTTATCTTCTTAAAATATTATTTAGAATAATATTTCTATATTTTCTTTTCTTTATTTGATATATAATATTCCCAAATTTATATTCTCTTTTTCACATTTAACGAATGTTTTACTACGAAGCCGTTTAGTAGAACTGCATTTGGAAACGATTCAAAATATTTATTGTATACAGGATACATCGAGGGGAACCCATCAATTCGGTCTGGCACTCGTTGGTCATTCTTTGGGAGCTGGTACGGCAGCTATCTTGGCGATTTTGCTTAAGCAAGATTATCCTGATCTGGTGTGCTTCTCGTTCGCTCCACCGGGTGGTCTCTTGAGCATGCCCGCTCAGCAATACTCGCAGGAATTTATTACATCCGTAGTAGTTGGAAAAGACGTTGTACCTAGGATAGGCCTTAGACAGATGGAGAGCTTAAGAGCTGATCTTATCAATGCTATAAAAAGAAGCGTCGATCCTAAGGTACGTACTTTATTATAGGAAGAACTAGAACATATTGAATTTCTATAATTCTTTGAAAAAAAAAAACCAAATAGAATATCGTTAATAATACTAAATTACTCTTATCTTATTCCATCGAATATTCGATTTATAAAATCGATAGAATTTGATTGTTATTGTGAAATTGATAAAATATTATAATTAGATTATGATCAGAGTTTATGAATCGTTATCGCTGTTTAAAGAGAAATTCTATCAATTTTATGTCAATAAAATCCTTAAAAAAATGAGTTTAGAACAACGAGAGTGATAAGTATTCTCATATAATCGAGAAGAGAATCACGCCATAAATCGCATCATTTTCAGTGGAAAACGATAGCATGCTCGGTGATGTGTTGCGGTTGCGGTTCCACCCCTACCTCAGCTGCAAATTTAGAAGCTGGCGGATGTATCAGCGAGTATCAGAGAGACAAGGACTTAGCCCGTTCGCAGACCGTCGTTCCAAGCGATTCCAGTATCGCGTTGACTTTGCACAGGCCTCTCTATCCACCCGGTCGAATCATACACGTTGTTCGACATCATCCTAACAAGGGAGAGTAAGTTCGTTTGTTCTCGTGCATCTTAAATAACATAACTTTAAATATCGTTTAAAACGCAGATAGTAAAAAAAAAAAAAAGCATTATAGATGTTCCATGCGAGTGGTGATTAAGAGATAATTTTTAATCGACCGTGTTTTCCGTTTCTAGGCACAAATATGAGAGCCGCTGGAGGTACGTTTATCGAAAAGTTTGAATTTTCAGGGTTGCTCTGGGTAATTGCATCTTGAGGATGTGCCCGCATGTGTACCTCCCTTGGATTTATATTTCTACACTTTTCTCTTTGAAACCATCGTCGCACATCTCTGATTGTTTAACTATCAGGGATATTGTTGTATAAGCGTCTTCTATATTCCTATATTTTGCATGAGTGAAATTCATAGAGGACCAGTGATGTTATACAGCGCAATAGATACTTTACAGAGTAATTTTCAGTAAGATAAATTTTGCAATATTTTTTCAAAGTTTGAGACGCGAAATAATAATGCAAAAAATCTCTGTCTAAACTTTCAGAATTTCAGACTTTTATCTTATCGTAATAAAAACTTTGCCCATTTACAACCGATAAGATTTCACTTATACTTATCGTCGTTACTTGAAATATATCTTCAAACTTTGAAAATTATCGGACTTTGCTTCGTATAAATAATCATTCTGTACTTACATAGTCCAAAAAATCAATTTTTATTCAATTTTGCAAATGCATTTGACTGCATGAATCTCACGTAGCAATTAGTTTCTCATAGAACATTAAATGATTTACTTCGTATAAAAATTTAATTCGTTTAAAGTTGACATGTGAATATAATATTGCTTTCTTGCATTTCAGACAAATGTTGCACAAACACGAGCCGGTATACCAAGCGCTTTGGGCCGGACCATGTGACTTTGACGAGGTGTTGATAAGCCCAGTGATGATACAAGACCATATGCCGGACAATATGCTGAAAGCATTGAACAAGGTAAGCCAGACCGATCCGATAATTCGTCAGATAAAGAGGTCGCAAACACCGGTTAGCCGAATATCCTCGGTGAGGCCAGGTAATTACGAGATCTTGGAGAATGTGGCGGATGATCCGGATATCTTGAAGGAAGGCGACAAACCTCGAAATATAGTAGTCAATGTAGAAAGCAATGGACACATGAAAAATGGTGATGCTGGTAGTGTAAAAGCTGGAACTATTGGTAACGTGGCAAAGACTTGTAACGAAACGATTATAGTTAATGCCGAGATACATGAACAGAAAGAAAAATAATTATTGATGAAGTTCTATTATGATTATTGATTCTTTCATTACCAATATTCATATTTATGACCGTTGTTATAAAAGGGATAATTTATATTCCTTTAATGTTTTTATTATACTTTTTTTTATAATTTCTACGTTGTTTGTAGAAATTATATGTTGTTATTTGTAAATGATATAATGTGAATATTAATAGTGACATCAGGAGTATTGTAAACTCTTTTTCCAAGATAGAATTCTTGATTCAGTGATATTTATTAAGCAATATTACTCTAGAATACAATTTTTTGACGATACTTGTTTGTTAGAAACTGACGTTTTCTAATTTTATTATTTGACTGACAAAAGAATTGCAAAATTCTTTTAGATATAAGTTGAAGCGAATTTTACTCAATTTATTGCGTGATTTTTTATCTTCATAATTATCTATTGAAATAGATAAAATCATGACTTAAGTGATTGTAGTTGTAGTTTCTTAGATAGGTTTTCAATATTATTTATTGTTATTGTAGCATTACTTTTTTTATTTAATTTTTCATATGTTTTATTTAAGGAGTATATTAATTTATAGAATAATTTGTTTTTTTATTATTTCTTAGCGCATAGTATAATATGAAAGCAATAATATTTGTACGATGTGTAATAAGAATCAAGTGAAATTTACTATATCGAATATTTTTGTTTTTGTTTTATCCTTTTGTTCAAACTGATGAAGTAGTTGACACGCATGTTTTTAGATACTGCATGAGTTACTGTGTAACATCTGCAAACAATTATATTTATAGCTTTTCGCATAATTCTATGCGTCATTTTTCTTTTATATTATTTTTTTGTTCACTTTTGATATTTTATTTTATATTTTCTATTTAAATTGCATCCAAAACGACTAAAAATTTATATGGACATTTCTTTTATCAATAAATAATAAAATCGATGAAACAAATAATTTAATCCAATAATTAAATTATTTTATACAACAAATTTTATTATGGCTTTTATATATTATTATCTATGTAAAAATATAAAATTTTACCGAATAAATAAAGGAAATACATTACACTAAACTTTTTATCGTTTAGCGGTCGTTTTGATTGCATATTGTAACAACATGATTCTGTATAATTTTCAATGTATACTACTTTTGATCAATATATTTTATACGATGAAAACGTTGTTATTTATTTATTTATTAGATTTTTCTTCCTAATTCTATGCCTGAAACATAACAAACTTAAATGTTCAAGGCAAAGCAATGATATATAATATATTATAAATTTATATACTTTTTATATTATTATCTAAATTGAAATAAGTTAATATATATAATACATGCATAATGAAAATTATTATATATTTATTTCTTTTGATTTTTTGCTGACATGTCTATTAATATATATTCGCTTTGCGCATAAAATTATTAAATTCTTTTTCTAATTTCACATTATTTCAGCTAATGTTTCAGCTTCGACTGCAATCACGAACACTAATGATGATACATTTGTTCTCGCTTTGCATGGTAGTGAAAAAAATATAATTTTTGTATTTTAGAATGCAGTTGATTATCTAAAATTTATTCAAAATTAATTGACTGGCCGAAACCTATAAAAAAATAGAATAAAAGATTTTAGGAATGAATTGTATTTTTAATGTTGAATAACGAAAAGAATAGAAATTCAATTTAGATTGTTTTTGCATCGAGCAAAACTGTTACATTTCTTTATATGCTTACTCATTCGTAACAGCAATGATCGTGATCAGACCTGAATTCAAACAATAGACAATAAAACAATATAATTAATTTAAAACATATAAATGATCAAATGTAGATCGAGCTATATACATTTTAACAAACACTGAATAATATTAACTTATTAAGATCAATATATCCATAGTAACCAATAAAAACCATAGAAGACGAATAGAGATGGTATTAAAATTCTATTGCATTCACAAGAACGAAATATCTTTGGACATTCGTCTAATATTATGAACGCTATATCTTTCGTGCGTATTTTCCAATATTTACTCTTAATGTATCATTTCATAAAATAAAATTAAACTAAATTAAAACTCAGCAGATCATCCGTTACGAATGGGTCAAATAAAATTCTTTCTCAGTTTGAATCATGACTCTATAGAAAACCCTTTGCTCCTGTAGCACAAAGGATTAACCAATTTCCCACCTACATGATATTAGACTAGGTGTTGCATCTCGAAATGTGAAAAAAATTGTCCCTCCTCGAATCGTGGCATATTGATAACCAGCGATCGATCACGAGAGGATGTGTGGCTGAGGGTGTGTGGTGTGTGGATTAGGTGTCAGCGTGCAGAGATCGCGGCGCTGCAGACGGAGATGCAGCAACACGTGGAACGGTTGCAAAGGACGCAGCAACCCAACGGACTCCTGAACAACGACACGTCGTGCTTCATCATCAAAGTACACCGACGAGTTCTCACGGCCGTGACGCTAACGTCTATGTCACCACACACTCTTCTCGCCACGGCACAAGGTACATTGACGTCTTTCGGCTTTATCGGATGTGTGTGTTCCTCCGGGCAATCGTATGCCAGTGGTACCATTATGCAATTATCCAACTGA